ATTATTTAAGTAAATGCCCTGTCTATAATAAACAGTATTAACGACATTTACCGGACTGAATGTCCGAGAAAATATGTGCTCACCGACAGAAGTCAAACCCGTATCCTACACGGAACCGTCATATAGTCTGACATGCTATACCATTCAGCAACAGAGGAAGCATCTGATTAGTAAGGTCGAGTTACTGCTTTTATATTTTAAATTTTAAATTCAGCAAAAGGTTAATAATTCTGGAAGAGTCTAAGTCGAGTGAAATTAATGCTTGTGGCATTCTCCCCCTTCATTTTTCTTTTGTTTTGTTTTTTCTTTAATGGATATCGTAACCGTTTTCTTCGATTCCTCGAAGATCGTCTAAGCGACACCGAATCTTCGAGAATCAGAGTTGAACGTTGATTGCAGAAATCCTATCACTTAAAAACTTGCAAACATAACAACAACTAAAATGAATAGAACATACAAATGACCCGAAGCGATATGAATGATATTGAGAAGAGGTTCTACATTACCTACAACAAATGTGTACGAAGCCTCCTCCCGTTAGCGCAGGAAAATCCGAATTTATTTTTTTGAAAAATTGCTTTAACAGAAAAAGTTTCTAAATTTTAACAGCAGCATTCAGTCATTATATGCCGAACATATTTTACGCATATGAATACGTTTAATATTACTATTACAGCTGATTTTTTTTTCTTTTTTTGTGGGGGTACAACCTACTATTGATGTGCAGTTATATAAGGCAGACCTACTCGAAATTTAATACAAACCGATGGTTCAATTTCTGAGCCTAGGGAAAGAAATGATGATTTAGCCTCACGAGGAACGCCTTTTCGTTCATTGTATTGCCATTATGGCAGTGATTTATTCGAGACAGATCTGGAAATGACTAACCTGCACTCAGACAAAAGACAGAGCAATTCCAAATCGATCGGCCAATTACCTACCGGCCACAACAAGAGGTTTCAACTAATAACAGTCAAGCAAAAATCTCGTAGATCACAGGTAATCAAACTACAGGTTTAAGTTGAGAAATGATTAGCGCCCTCGCTGTCCTGATTAAGATATATACGGTATTTAATGAAGTCTGATCAAGCGTTAGGGAATAATGGATGCGTCTTGTGTCGCCGATCAGATTATGTTCTACGGCTCGCAGAGGAACGTCTCCCAGGGAATCAGGATGGGTGTCAGTAGTGCGGAAAGTTCGTGTGTCACAATGGACAAGACATTAGCAAAGTTGATCGAGCTTCGCGTTGAATACAATAATTTGGTAGTAGTTTTGTTTTGGTCACGTTAAAATTTGCAAGTTTTTCCTTGCATCAGTTAACCGTTAAAAATTATTTTTTTAATCATCAGTGTATTTGGCAAACTGTTTTATGACAACATTTGAATTTAGCATCTTTATACCGTCGTAAGAATGTTGAACCAAAAAGACAAATTTCATGGAAAAGAGACTCAAAAATAGGCAAAATTTGTTCTAAAACAAGGTAAAGATAAAATATTTAATGAGTTAAAAAATGCTCTTCTAAGATGGTTTAAATGGAATAAATTTTATTTACTGGTCGGAAATTCCTTAGTGGCCAATGGACAAGACATCTGAAAAGTTGAAATCGAGACGAGCGTTGAATACAATAATTTGGTGGTAGTTTTGTTTTGGTCACGTTAAAGTTAAAAGTTTTTCCAGTTTGAAATTAACCAATAATTGGAAAGTTTTTTACCAAAAAATTAATGGCTTACTCTTATATAAAACGACAACATTCTGAAGTCGGTTGTGTTATACGAGTAATAACCGACAAAAAAGACAAATTTCACAGACAAGAGACTTTAAGAATAGGCATAATTTACGTTCTAAAACAAGCTAAAGATAAAATGTTTAATGAGTTAAAAATAACTTTAAAATATTCTTGGAATTGAATTACATAGTTTTATAAATTTCATTTACTAGGTATTTGGCGGAGAGACACATCCTTAGCTCCAAGGGAAGCACGGTGAATAATAACTGAACAGTAGAAAGAAAACGAGACGAGATATACCGAGACAAGAAGAGTGGAATGATCGAAAACACCCCATGAAGTTAAAATGATGTCTTCAGTTTGAAATTCGATGAAGGTTACACGGAAAGACGGACACCAAAAAAAAGACAAAAGGCACCACAGCCGAAACGATATGACAATAGCAATGAAGGTTAGGACAAAATTCCTGATGTAAACAATCTGACTAGATTAGATAGAATTAGTTTTTAAAAGCTTATTAACCCTATGTGGGTTAATTAAAGCTGCAACATTTTGAATTGCAAGAATAATATTTTTTTTGCGACTGGATATAACTTTAAAATATTCTTTAAGAATTACATTGACTTTTCAGAAGCCCTAAACAAATTTAAATTATATTTGGCGGGAGATATATTAAATACCTTTCTGAGAATCGATCGTATAAATGAATACGTCGTGTGAATGAAATCTGAATTTTTTTCACCCGTTTTTCATTCTGACCCAGTATACATTACATCCATCACATCGCAACGAAAATAATAATAGCACCACGTGTAAATGCGTTTGAATATCTGCTTTCAAGAAGGAAAGACGTGGAAACTGAGCGGTTAGTGGAATATGAAAATTTACTTGCATCCACGTTGAAAATGTTTAAAATACTAATGAAAGAAATCAAAAAAGAGGCGGCAAAAGAATACATATTGAGTGCAAGAGGCCAAATGTAAGAAGAAGCCGATGAATGATGAGAAAGAAAAAGAAAATCTAAAAAATAAAATGATAAAGCTGAAGTTTTTTTTTTCCAGAAAAAGCAAATAAACAACAAATAGAAAAAAAAATGTTAGTTTAGTTCAACTCTCTCGAGCGTTTCAGACGGGGTTGCCATTTAAGTGAATAATTTTTGGCTGCGCATTAAAATAAGAGAAAACGACAAAACAAAGTGACCCTGACAAAAGGACAAGAGGTGTGTGTTTAGGGACTGTTCATTATAAAGACCCGTGGAAAATACGAAAAAAAAAAAAAATTGAAAAACATTTTTTTTTCAATTTCCTAAAATGGGGAAGAAATTGATGTTGAACGTCAAAAAGAAAAGAAAATTTAATACAGACATAACAGGTGAAAATTTTGATGAAACAACAAAGAAATAGAGAAATAATTTTGACAAAAAAAAATAATCAAAAATTTGTAAAGAGTGGGAAAAAAATAATACATAGAAAAGACAAAAATATCATATATAGATAGTTTTTCTAATTCAATCTTTTTTTTTTTTCACTTTTCACCTCATGTAGTAATTATCTCTTTCACTCCAAAATGTGGAATTGGCGCGCTATTTGTCCTTTATAGTCTTTTGTTTAATTTTTGGCTTAAAACGACAAAAAAAAAAAAAAAACTTTCCTTTTATTTTTTAATCAATATTATTATTTCACTTTCTCTACATCTCTTTCTCTCTGTCTCTCTCTCCACACACACACGCACACACACATATTCTCTCGTGGTTAGAATTCGCACCAATTTTATCGAAAGATGGCATTCATTATCTGATCTTGCAATGCCTAATTACGCGCCTAAATTCGCGCCTGCGCGAACGTATCAACAACGGTCGACAGAATATGCAAGTGAACGGGAGGCCAAACATTACGCACAAAAAAGGAGCATCATGTCGTCCATATACCTTCAACTGGTAACAGGCGTCAAATTATGAAGACGCTAAACAGTTTTCTCACGGGTTTTCTTCTCCATCAACTGATAAGCTGTGCACAAATTAGGATTTAATTCTCCAAGTGCATTCTAGTGACAAAGTAGATGCATGGCGTCACTGAGTGGGAATTTTCTAACAAGGGATTTGTGAACAGGTTTTTATGCTCAAGCTAAGAATAACTAAAAACAAGAAAAAATGTTTTTGTTTCGATCACAAGATTTTCCTCTGTTTCTAATATTTAGCTGAACTATTCTTTGGTTCGTAAAGTGCTATTCTTACGGTTCCGTTAATGAGAAAAACCGAAGAAAAATCTTCAGCTTGGGTTTCTTTTACGTGCCGTATCGCTACAAGACGTGGTCGATCATGTCTCTCTGTTGCTTCTTATTCTTTGTAACTAAGTGAAATTTATCTCAACATTCCTCTCAGTTATTGCACCTCTATTTCTTTGCGTCAACACGATTATGTGGATTACTCTATGTTTCTATCTGCCCCACTTGTGTTCGATATGTCATGTGAACGTTTAATTCTCTAAGCTTTCTTTCCTCGTTATGTGATCTTGTTTTAATTGTTGTTGTTGTTTTTTTTTAATCATTTCACCCCAAGCAAAGCATTAAACCTCTAAGATGAGAGACGTTACTGTGTGTGAAATTATATATAAGAATAAAAATCATTATTAAGAGAATAATAAAAGAACACGAATTAAGAAAACAGAATATAACGATTGAATGTTTAGAAGCTGAGGTGCCAGGTGAGGACCGATAATATTGTAGATTCTATGTTAGAGTTTCTGTGTCCCAGAAAAATTGTCTCTTTCTGTTCCCAAGGAAAATATACTTTCCAATCCATTTTCCCTTAAAACTTCCTCATTGTTCATATATATCGTCCATGGTATTCTCAGCATCTTTTGTTAGAACCACATTTCTATCGCTTCAGATCACATCTTGATCTGTCTGGAAATTCTCCAAACATTCACTATCAGATAGGAGGATATATCTTTTAACGCATTTAAGCTCTCGTTTCTTGGTTCGTAAACGAGACTTTTCTATCTGTTAATACGTTGTTTAGCCTCCTCAGATATATTTCGCTATTCCTTTGGACTTGTCTGTCACATTTTCCGCCACCTTTCACCGTGCTAACATCATAGTTAAAAGTCTTATTAATTAATCCAAAGTTGGGTTGAGAAGTGGTGAATTCATACCTTTCCTAAGGGTTTTTGCGCGTAAGTGCATATAACGAACCCAACTGGATTTGGAACACAGTTCTCCGATTAAAAATTCCGAGCCATTATCCAATACGTCAACCGCACATCTAAAAATTAAAGCACCTGATATTCCCAAGCTGTTACACATCTAAGTACTGACCAGGTACGACGTTGCTTAACTTGGGTGATCATACGAGAACTGGTGTTTCAACATGATATGACCGTAAGCTCTTGTTTCGCCCAGTTTTAATGTCGAACAGAATTATCTAATTGGCAATTGCTTGCAAATGTTTCATTTTTTTATTGCTCTGAAAAACATGAACTCTCTGTCTTCATTCGATAAAGAAGACGTTTATTAGAGACGAAAACGGAATCGCCAGACCGAGTTTGAATTGAGGCTCGCGCTAATTTTATCCACTTCTCACTAGTACTTTGCGGGTGCAAAAAGCTCTATGCTTTAATATCGTCGACACACTTGTATAATAAAAATATATCTTCTCCGATCTTTCAAATTGCGCCAAATTTGGATTCTATTTTTTTCCGCTGAGTATCATGGATTTAAAATATCCTTGGTAAATGTACGAATCCATCTATTTCCCCCCCAGCGATGGGTTAAATAACAGGGCAGACACGCCGTGGTTTACAATCTAGGTGATGGACAACTTAAAATTCGAAACAATAACATTTATCCATGACACCCGAATGAAAATGAAAAGAAGATGCATGATACACACATACACATATATGTATGTACGTATGTATCTATCTATCTATCTATCTATCTATCTATCTATATATATATATATATATATATATATATATATATATATATATATATATATATAAGGAGAGAGGCAGAGAGATTGGATAGCGAAACTATCAGAGGCAAGGAACTCTGAGGCAAGAAAGAGAGGACAAAGTGCGAATCATTAAAACATGAGAGAAAACATCGCTGTCAGCAAGAATGATAGCCAACCATTTTCCTTCAAATTGAAGACATAAGAATCAAGCAGATCCAATTAATTATTCGTGTAGTGTATTAACAGATGACAGAAAATTCGACACAGAAATCTGAAGTCAGATTTGAAAATCGAAGGAACCCTTACAGAAAATATGCAAAATACAATGGATTTGGTATTTTTCATTATAAAGAAAGAAAAGAGTGATTAACTGCTGTGTAATACTTATTCGTCTATATGACCGTGACCGTTGGGTAATTTGCTTACCACTGGCAATTAGTCCTGGGTATGACGATAAAAATCTGGAGATTGGATGTTTCGAGAAGCGTGCAATCACCTCTGTAGTTCCTGGGGTCGTAACACCTGATAGAGACCCAGCTATGGGCAAATAGTTATCCCCAAACAAAAAGAAAACACTATTAAAGTATAAAAATACATTTTTTATAGTTTAGACACCAGGAATAGATTTTTGTATAAAAATTGACCAATAATATCTATTTTATAGCAAAATGACGAACAATACAAATTCTATCTTTGGACGAAGCCATAAAACTTTGTTCAAAATATTTACATTTGCATTATATAACACATGGCGGTTGATATGCCGCTAAACAAAATCAAAATAATCAATTGCTGAAGATCGAAGCACAGGAGGTGTTTCCTCAAACGGATGCTGTGAAAATCAAAGACTGAACAGGTGACGAATGAGAAAATGAAGAACATATAATCAGAAAGAAAGGGTTGAAATTTTTGGAACACAGGTCTTGGAGAAATTACGGGATATATTACAAAGTGAAACGGCGAGTAAGCTACTAAATGTGTTTGCATGAATGAATGACATGACGGAGACAAAGTGAGGCGGCAAAGAATCATCAGATGTTTAGATCTTTTTTGATCATTTCACACCAAGCAAGGCAATAAAGTCATTTAGACACAATGTGTTACAGAGTGTGAGAGTATTGGAAAAAGTAAACTTTATTAAGTAGAGGGAACAATAAAATAACAGGAATTAAGATAACGATTGATATTGCATTTAAATTGTTTTTTCGATAAATTTGACTGAAAAGTACGAAGTCGGAAAGAGTTGCAAATGACATGAAGTTGGGGAAAGCCATCATCGACTTTTCCATTATATAGAGCAAGATAAATAAGTTTAATATTAATAGGTAGTGTTGGTATGTAGAGGAACGGTGGTGTAATGAATAGCGTCTCGACTTGAGGAATCAGAGGACCGAGTTCGAATTCCATTTGAATCCATTACATCCCCTAACGCGCTAATACACTTAGGAAATGTATGAATCCTCTTCTTCTCCTTCCACCTTTGGGTAAATAGCAGAACAGACTGGGTTCTATAGCCTTGGATGGCATTTGGTCTACAGCAGAAAGAAATGGCAACCTACTGCTGGAAAAAAATCTGCCTCGTCAATCATATATTAAAAGATACATGATCGTCTAAGCGTGTATCACGCATGACACGTAACTGACTGACTGACCCTTGGGAAAAGTATGAATCCTCTTCTTCTCCTTCCAGCTATGGGTAAATAGCAGGACAGACTGGGTTCTATATATCCCGTATGGCATATAACTGACAGCTCTCCTGGTGGTTAGAAACTTCCTGTCAGTAGGCTGGCATTAATAACCCCTTTTCCCGATGTGTTATTAGGAAAATAAAAGGCCAGGGAATCAATGCTCTTTACTTAGAAAACTCTATATTAAAAGCCGTGAAGTAGGAAATGAGTATAGTCCTGGTCATGACGATAAACTACATCCGGCAGCAAGATGTCTGATCCGGAGATTGGAGATTTTGTAGAACATGGAACCACCTCTTAATTGCCGTTGTTCTCAGGTCCACCTTGACCCGGAGTTTTAGTACTTGTTAAGGTCACAGTTTTGGGCAAATTGTGAACCTCCAACCTAAAAGAAAACACTATGAAATTATAGAATATATTTTATAGTAAAATTACCAGCAATAGCTATTTATAGAAAAATTACCACCAATATCTATTTATATTAAAATTACCAAGTATATATTATTTATAGTAAAATTACCAACATAAACATTTTAAAGAAAACTGAACAGTAATACATTTTATACTAGAAATGCCAAGAATACAATTTATATTAAATGACCAACAGTACATTTTATCTGTATTTGAAGACCTGCAGTTGTGTTCAAAATATTTAGATTTCAGCATTAAATGACCCATTGCCCCTAACCAAACTCAACCAAACCAGGGCAACGAGAAGTCATTTCGTTATTTATCGCTATTACTGTGGCAGATGTTCGGACGAATTACGTTCCTGAGACACACCAGTTCAGATTTTCTGAGTTAGCGTCCAAAGCGTTTTGTTTTCGATGGCTAATCATCCTCATTTATTCCTTGTTCCTTTGACAAAGAGCAAGAATTATTACGTTGTGGAACAATATCCCGAGGAGAGTTACCCTTAACACCTATTTCTTGGTCCAGCGTTAAATGCTATATTTCCTACAAATCCTCATAGTGATTTTCTAAGCGTAGCTTAGACGTGGCACAAGACCGAAAATATGGGGCGATCGAACTCGCTAATCAGTCGTAATTGTTCTAGCGAGAAAAGCTTGCTAACCATTACACCGTCTCAAGGTGGCCACGTACAAATCCTCATCATAGGCATTTCTAATTTATTCCTTCCCCAGCCCTTATAAAAATCTAACTTAGTATATTATATATTACATCAAATAACAGTAAAACCTAAGGCCGTTTGAGATACGTTTTAATTATAACAATACCAGCAAATATTTGTTAAAAAAGGAGAAAAGTATTCTGAAGGTAATATAAAATGATAAGAAAAAATACAATTAAATATTAACCTTTGAATATCATGATAATTGCAATATTATCCGTTTCCTTATAAGGAAACATTAGACATTCGTTGATTGAGCAGACAGTACTACTGTCGTTTGAAAATTATATACTCTCTCTCTTAAATAATTTTTAGGATAACAGGTTTTTCAAGTTCAGTAATTGTTATCGATCTTTCCAGTATTGATTTTATATGAAATAGTGGGAAGTGTCACTATCTTGATTATGCCATTATTTCCGCTTCGATTTACATGTAATATTCATTATAGTTATTGCTGCTGTCGGAAGTCCTCAAGTGACATGGTTTCTGTTCTTTGGTACAGTTTGTCGTTTCTGATTCTGTAGTGGCATGGCAGCTGTAATAATAACACAAGATAACATAAGACTGGACCCTGTTTTATGCTAACAATGCAATGGATTGCTGAAGTTTGCGGCAAGGATAATAATAATTATAACAACGAGTTGAGCAATCAATATTCTCTGGTGGGCAAAAGAAATGAGTCACTTGCAAATAAAAACAAAAAACAAACAAAATAACAAACAAAAAAACAAAAGTTTAAATATTTGACAACGTACTGTACTTTCAGAATTAGTATATCGTATACCATATGTCAGGTAGGGACTTATAAATAAAGTCATTTCAACATTTGTTTTATTATTCAAAAGCAGATTTATACAGAATTTAATTCTTATTTAGGATGAAAAATTATAAGACAAAAATATCTTCCATTTTTACTGCACACCAAGACGCTCTTCAACATTATTCTCCGTAACTATAGTTAATTATTCTGAAAATAGTTCTAGAATTTCTGAAAATATATTATCCTTGAGTTCATGTACTATTTTTTTTTTTTTTGGTGTAAGAATTAGCCTAAGATATCCCCAAAGGAAAGAATCGAGATGTGAAAGTAGGAATCATAAAATTTTGAAATTTCGAAAAATTGTACGAGTGCTAACTGCTTTGTTAAATCCAAAACAAAACTCCAGGATTATGGGTCTTTTTTTCTTTAGACTATTTATATTCAGTCGAGTGTCGTCATCATTGTTTTTGTTATCACTACGTTTCGGCCTTCATCAGGTTTATATTGAGCGGGCTAACCTGCAAGGGAATTGCAACTGGAACCATTATTTAATCTACGGAGGTAGACTGTTTTCGTTCCACTGCAAGGTCTAAGGATATCTCGTCTAGTTCTTTATTTTTAGTATTGTTCAGTTATTTCTAGCTCGTTTCCACTGAGTCCAATTACACATTGCTCGGCCCGGGGATTGAACACACAATCATTATCTGACCAGTTTCACGAACCAAAGCTTCCATCTACTACGTTACTGCCACGCAGGTTAAATTTTGTAGTGTTCTTGTAGCTTTAAACAGAAACTTCCTGCTTATTAGTGCTACTAATATTTTGACTGCTGTTGTCGCAACTATTG